ATCATATAGCAGGTGCTTTAATCATTGTGCTTTATGCATAGAAAGCCAATATGTCTGAAGTCCAGATTTTTATAAAAATGGTAAACCAGGGACGTCAGGGTGGCTCAGTCATTAAGCATCTGCCTTTGGCTCAGGTCATGATCCCAAGGTCCTGGGATGGAGCCCCGCATCAGGCTCCCTGTTTGGAGGGAAGCCTGCTTTTCCTCTCCCACTCCCCCTGCTCATATTCCTACTCTTGCTGTATCTCTCTCTCTCAAATAAATAAATAAAATCTTTTAAAAAAAAATGGTAAGCCCAAAGGAGAGCCTAGAATCTCTAATTTATTGAAGTAAAGTGAAGATTCTGTCATCTAACTCATGCCCTTTAGAGCGCAAAGACAGTTCCTGTGGTGTCTTCTCATGCATTGAGAGAAGATGATTGTTTCCTTAGAACATATTAACACAGATGTGTAAGTGGGTTTGTAATGTGCCTACAATAGCCAGTATTAACATTCCAGATCTTCCTAGGTTTGACTTTTCTGTCTGTAACTTTGAAAGCAAAATTTGAAAATATTGATAACATAGGAAAGCCCAGCAATCCTGAATTAAATAGGGTGACCAACTGTCCCAGTTTGTCTAGGACTAAGGGAGTACCTAGAACTGGAACTTTAACACCAGGATAGTCCTAAGCAATTTTAGTACTAAAACCAGGACAATCCCAGATGGATGTGTGCACCTTCAGCCAGAATGGAATGGTGCTGGAGTGACGACAATTTGAGGAAGAAGAACTTCTAAAAATTCTCTTTCCTGCTCTTTCAGAATTTTTTAAATTTTTCTTCTTTCCACCTCCCCAAGTCAGGCTAAAAATGTTAAGGGTGTTCTTCTCTCTCTGGATAGAGTATCAAGACCTTAGCAACAGTTGGAAGTCCTGCAGAAGATGATGAGGGGCAGGGAGTCAGATTTTGATCTCTGTATCCAATGGTCTGGATTCGAATCCAGGCTTTGCCATTCATCAGGTGGGTGATACCCTGCCTCCACTTTTTCAGATGTAAGTGGAAGTAATAATAGACTCCCTGGTGGGGTTACATTAAGCAGTGCCAGTCATGCATTAAGAGTTCAGGGAAGTTATTTTTACTGTGGCCTTGATTGAGATTAGCAATTTGGAGCATGCCAGCATGTGTACCAGTAATGGTCACCTTCCTGTTTCTTAGGGGATACCTGCTACCCGTGGCAATTTTCTATAAGGGGTGACCTCCATCACCTAAAAAGCTCAGCTGTGTTTTGTTTGTTTCTACTCAAGAAATGCACATGGAATGGCAGAAGAAGCTTTCATACATAGGACTCTTCCATAACATGTGGCTTCAGTGGAATGGACACTTGGATGAACGTCCTTTTGAGGCTAATTATGGTTTTTGTGAAGGATGATAAGTTCACCAGACTTCATTTTCTTAAGAGCCAGTGTTACGATGAAGCTGCGTTATCCAATGCCTCATTAGATCGTTGGGACATTGAATAAGGAAGGCATGATACAATGTATTCTCCATCATAAGGGGTTGGTGCAAAATTGAAGAGCATCAGTGTGCCTCAGGTGGGGCTGGCTACTTTTGGAACGTTGCTTCTCTTAGGGTGGGAACAAAGAGAGACCAGCTAAAGAGCCAGTTGTGAGTTGACTGTGGAATTCTAGAGTATGAACTCAGTTCCGTCAACCTTGCATTGCTCTGGTTTTAGCATATGCCATGGAGACCTCACCCCATGATACAGGGCATGGGAGAGCTCAGTAGATGTCACCCCATTCCATTTCAGATGTGTGTACTCAATTCCGAGAAAGCAGAAAATAGACTTGTGCCTGACCTCCGATCTTACAGTTTCACCAACTTAGTTTACCATGAGACATATAGTGCATTCGTCTGCTGAAATGTAGCTACAGGACCTTGCTTTTTCACTTAGAATTTGTTTCCAGCATTTACCAAGTACAATCCAAAAGACGCTTTAAAAAAAAAAAAGATGGGGATCACTCAAAAGGTTGAAATGGAAAACCGCACCCCTTAAGATCTAAACAACCGGTCAAGAACATCATCGCAAAACTTACTTAAAATATTTACTTTGAGTTCAAGAATGGAAAAGTTGAGAATTGGATTTTGCATATGTAATTATAAAGTGGGGGGGGTAATTAAATTATTCTTTTCATAATATAGGCTAATATAACCAGATACATCCTTATATACATGCTTTAATACCTTTTAGAGGTGTTAAGTCAGTTGTAATAGTCTTATGTTTTGGCCTTTTACTTTCTTTGCATGCATTATAACAGACTTCTGACTCTTGAGATAAGATTCCTCATGGGATACATTTTGTATCATAAGAATGAAATGTAGCATGGATATTTCCTCTAGTTACATGTGGATGTGATAGTTTACATACTGAAAAATATTTACATGAGTCAGTGTAAAGAAACTTCACTTTTATTCAAAATACTGTATATTTTCTTCTGTGCATGTAGACAGGCTTTCTACAAATGAAGAATCTTCTCTGCTTTGTGCTGCCCAGAGACATTAAGTAACTCCATTTAAGCCTCAAATGAACCTTAAAGATATCCCCTGTACGGGGGCGCCTGGGTGGCTCAGTGGGTTAAAGCCTCTGCCTTCGGCTCAGGTCATGATCCCAGGGTCCTGGGATTGAGCCCTGCATCGGGCTCTCTGCTCAGCGGGGAGCCTGCTTCCTTCTCTATCTCTCTGCCTGCCTCTCTGCCTGCTTGTGATCTAGGTCAAATAAATAAATAAAATCTTTAAAAAAAAAAAGATATCCCCTGTAAGTTGCTTCTGATATATTTCTAGATATAAACTCTTGACCTGGGGGACCCCTATATAGATCTATAGGAAAAAGGCATTTAGTTGAAAACATTTTCCCATGGAATTAAAGAATCCCCATAGGTTAAATAAAGTAAGAATTTGGCCTTTTGCCTGGGACCAGGAAGTTGTCACAGAAGCTCTTTTTTAGAATAGAATCAGTTATACAAGCCACGGGCCTTCTGCTTGATTTAGTTTTAGTCAAAACAACAATTCGGAACTATTTCACTGCTGTCAGTATTTGTGAGTTACTCATGGTCTGTTCACTACAAATGAGACTGTTTCGGGGATTATCCACTTTATGTATTACATTCTGAAATAAATGCATTTCTGAAAATGCCTGTCCATGTTGGAAAAGAAGAAAAATTAAGTGTCTTTTATCACCTGTGCTAAGAGCATTAGGTCATGATCTGAGTGGAAGAATGTTTAGGATTGTATATCCTTTGTCATGCATACCTCTAATTACAAACAGATAACACTCTGAATCAAAAAGTTGGTTAATGTGCCATTAGCTAGCTGGTTTGTTTGTTTTCTTAACCTTTTTTTCCTCTTAGCTCAGATAGCTAAGATAGTTTTGTATTCAAAAGTAAAAACATTTTTTTTTTTTTTTTGAGACCATTATCTTCATTCTTGGCTAAGTTTAGATTCCAGGGAATAGTTCTGGATTGCAATTCGATTTTAATGTATTTTGTATGGACCTGTAGTGTTAAGGAATGGCCACATAGAGCATTGGTTTATAACACTGAGTGCTCAGGAATAGTAATTAGGGGGCCGCTGATAAAGGCTATGAAGTTAGATGAGTTCGTGAAGTTTTAGATAAATATTAAGAATTTAGGTGAGTAGCAAGTAAATACTTGTAGATTCTAAACATGTGTTCAGATGCTGGGAGAATTCCCCCTCCACAGAGAGCTGCAACCTGATTGTCATCATTTTAGGAAATACTAAGTGGGCAGGGATGAGGGGGATGGGTGGGGGGGTGGTGGGATAGCACAGTCTTCTGCAGCCCATCTGGGCTCCCCCTGCTCTTCACAGTTTGAGTCTTGCCATTCAAGTGTAAGGAGACCGTTCTAACAGCTTGGTTGTCACAGAAGGAATATTTTTAAAGATACAGTTCAAGTTCAGGATGGACTTTTTTGGAGCTCAGCATGGATTTTTCCTGCTCCCCCGGCCCCGCTCCGGTCCCTCACCCTAAGTTAAGCAAATGGAAGACGCGAGGCCCAGCCAGAAACTCTTCCGCAGACACTAGCTCAGGTAGGAGGGGGAGCTGAGCGGCCTTCTCGGGGCCCAAACCTGCGAAGAGTTCCTCCGTGTGAGTTTGGAAGGGGCGGAAAGGGGGGCAGTCGGCAGGAGCCGAGGCAGGCCCCGCTTGGGGCGACGACCCACAAGCCCCGCCCCATCCGCCCCTTCCTCAAAGGCACCTGCGCGTCAGGGAACTCCCCCCCCCTCCCGGGCGCGGGCTCCTCTCCCGCGGGAGGCAAGTTTCTTCTCCGGCGCTAGCCACCTGTGCGCGGCGCTCCGCGGGGGAAGGGTGGCGTGAGCGCGGGGACAGCGCGGCCACGCAGCTCGGGAGCCTCTGCTGGGGAGGCAGGCGGCCAGAGCACCTCCGGACCCCGGGGCTTTCCGGATGCCGAGCCCGCCCTGCCCGAAGACGCGGCCAGGACCGTAGCCCAGCGGCCTCGAGGCCGGGGTGCCGGGGCGGGCAGGGAGGGGGAGGGCTGGGCGAGGGGTCCCCCCGGCTGGCGCCTCCCCGGTCTGGCGCGGGGTCCTCCCCGGCGTCTCCCCCACCTCCCCACCCCGAAGTGGCGCGCCCGCCCGCTCCGCCCCGCGGCTTATCAGGCGCCCCAGGCGTAGCGCCCGCTTCCTCCGGCACCCGCCGCCCTGCGCCCGCCTCCGGCCCTGCGCTCGCCGCGCCGCGGCTCAGTCCCCGCTTGGACCTGCTGTCTCGCGGTCCCCACGCTCAGCCTCCCCGGCGGCCCGAGAAGTGGGAGCTGCACCGAAAGTCGGCGCCGGAGCGGCGGACTGGGCATGCTCAGAAGCCAGGGCTGGCTCTGGGCTCGAGTAGGAAGCGTCTGCACTCGGGAGGCGGCGGCGACTTTGGGGAAAGTTGACCGGAGAGGGGAGCAAGCCCCAAGGCGCGCGGCAGCGGCAGGCAGGCGCCCCGGCGGCCCGGAGGAGCATGGGCACCCTGCGGGATTTACAGTACGCGCTCCAGGAGAAGATCGAGGAGCTGAGGCAGCGGGATGCCCTCATCGACGAGCTGGAGCTGGAGTTGGATCAGAAGGACGAACTGATCCAGAAGCTGCAGAACGAGCTGGACAAGTACCGCTCGGTGATCCGGCCGGCCACCCAGCAGGCGCAGAAGCAGAGCGCCGGCACCTTGCAGGGCGAGCCGCGCACCAAGCGGCAGGCGATCTCCGCCGAGCCCACCGCCTTCGACCTCCAGGATCTCAGCCATGTGACCCTGCCCTTCTACCCCAAGAGCCCACAGTAAGCAGGGGTGCGGCGCCCTGTCGGTGGGGAGCTGCGGGTCTCTGTCTTGTGTGTCGGCCCCCGCCCCTCGCGCTTGCCATGTCTGTCCTCATGCTTGGAGATGGTGCATTCTAACGGGCGCTTCTCGCGCGCTGTGCACGTTTCTCAGAGCTACACTCGCTGCACCTACGTTTGCCTTCGTGTCTTTGTCAGATGTCAAGCTATTTAAAAAAAAATAGACATACACATTCATATATGCCACCCACCGCACATAGTTTGAACGCGCCCCAGGTGTGTGTCCGGCTGTGTGTGTGTGTGTGTGTGTGAGTGTGTGCGTGTGAGTGAGTGAGTGAGTGTGAGAAGAGGAATAAAAACCCCGTCTCCCAGATGCCCTGGCAGACCTGCCCAGCCGGAAAATCCTAAATGCAGGCTCATCAGACCTGAAATGAAATGCGTCTGATACCACCCTTACTTTCCCCGCTGGTGTGGCTCTCCCGGATTTCTCTACATGCCGGCGATTCACGCCGGTACCCCTCAAACCCCAACGTGCTGTCCTCGTCCAAGTGTCAAAAATAAGGAAAGACGCATAGAAAAGGGAAGATTTTTTTGATTTCCTGAATCGGATGGCATTCACAGCCCACGAATGGAAGCCCAGTCTGTTGATTAAAAAATTATATATTTTTTCATACAATCCGAGGGAGATTGTTGCTTATTTTCTTTAAGGAATTTGCATAATGTTACCAGTGAGGTGTCTCAGACTATCCGGAGGGTTGCAGGTTCCCAGGGTGAAGCGTGAGAAGTACACTTACCTTTACTGACAATGTGAACACATTGTTTGCCTTACTCCTGGCTCCTGATGCAACCACTCTGGTATCCTTCTTGCGTTTAGAGAACTATGTTCTGATGTCAACGGGCTTCGTAACTTGGGTAGGAAAATCGAATCCAACTTGTTATACACCTCTCAACGCAGAGACCTCATGGAGAGTAAAGTGACAGAGACATGAGATTAACATAGAATGAGGAAGAGCACCCCAGTGACTGGTATTTTGAATTAGTAGGTAATGACATAATTGATAAAATGAAAGGTTTTGCTGCTCTATTCCCAACTACATCACACTGGCTGGATGACACGTGTTACATAAGAACACAAGCTCCCTTGGAACCCTGCACTTCATAAATACAAGAAATTAAGGAGAAAGGGTAAATACCCGATTGTCTCCATCGATTTTGGGGAGCTATTGAGCACGTACTGATGATAGTTTTAAAAACTTAAGAATCATACCTACATTTGTTGGTTCCCATGGACCTTCTGCTGTTCCCCTTGCAGGTTTAGCTTACGAGGGAGTTTGTAAAAAAAAAAAAAAAAAGAAAAGAGGGAGTTTGTATTCTCCCAGAGTGTGGGGAGGAAACCATGAGGATAAACATTTTGGAGATTCTGACAGCAAGTTGCCCCAATCAGTTAGGCTTAGATTTGCCTTAGGAACCTGAATGATTCGCATCTACTTCAACTTCTTCCAGTAAATTAATTTGCAGTCCCGACATGCTTGCCTGTTTTAGCTAACGAGGTACATGGCCATCTCTCCTGGGCCAAGTTTTGCATAATGAAAAAATAACTCAAAAACAGCTCTCTGCATTTTTAAGCATTGCATAGGATCTCATTTTAGTATCTGCATGACTTTGGAGTAACAGAGAAAACTCTGCTTTTATAAAAAGACCATTTTAATAGGTTTTATAATGAAGCATGATCGAGCCAGCTGATAACTCCAGTTAAACATTAGATCAGAGAAGATCTGAAGGTATGTCGGTAGTAGGGAATGAGCCGTAGAAATGGGGTAAGTTTTAGAAGTCTCTTGGTGCTCAACATGTAGAACAACTAGATTTTTTTTCCCAAGTCCATGGTGGAAAATGAAATTAGCGTGGCAAATAGTTCACACCATTCTGTTATAATAAACATTTTATCTATGGAACAATGCTGTGCGTTCTGATATTTATTTAATAACATGCTCTAAAGAAATCAGCTGCTTAAGGTATCACCATGATGGTTTCGGTGATTCTGAAGGATTATATTGAAGAAAAGGATAGAATGTCTTCCAAGCTTAAATAATTTTGGAAAAACATCTGTTCTTTTTTCACACTTACATAAAGAAAACCAGAATAAAATTGGCTTAAGTGGTAGAGTGTACCTTTCTTGAAAGAGAAGTTACATTGTATGCAAAATGATTATTCCTTGTGTCATTTGAATGATTGTGCAAGATAGCTCCACAAAGAATTAGGAGAACTTGCCAAATCAAAGAAGACTCGCTTGAATTTAAATTTATTTCACTCTGAGTAATCTGATTATTCAGGAGGACTGGCAACAAGTGGTTATGTCTTTATATTTTGCTTCTAGTGCAATTTACGTATAGTCCTATTAAACTCACAGATCATTGTGAGTTCGAGTTCAAAGGAAACCACCTAAATAGCCTAAAGTGGGTTTCAGATTCACTTTCCTGTGAAATTTCTGTTCTCTTTTCATTAGATGTAGGTAACTGCCCAGCTAAGCTTCTGTTCAGTTATCTGATAAATGCAATTTGCTTACTGAGATTGCCCTCTGAGGATTATAATTTTGAAAAAGTTTTCTTTAATGATTTTTGATCGTTTAAAAAATAGGGTAAAATGTAAATTCTTAACTCACATCATTTTAACATTCTTGGTTTGGAATTTTCCCTGTAAGCTGGGAATGGGAGGCAATGCTGTCTCTGAGCCGGGGAGCTCCTTCTGAGTGTGTGTGTACGTGTGTGTGTGTGTGTGTGTGTTGGGGGTGTTCTTGTTTGTTTCTTTCACACCTGTGTAGAACTAGCCCTTAAATCCTTCCTCTGTTAGGAATGTGAAGCCAAGAACTGATGTAGAAGTTGGTACTCTATCCTGGGATAGAGATAGATACTCTATCCTATTACTACCACATAACTACTTGAGAATGTAAAACTATTAGGCCATATGTTTTGAAATAAATTGAGCAAATAACCCCTAAAAATGAAAAAATATATAAAAATATTCATTTTATGAGATCAGTCTGTTGGTTATATATATGGGATTGTTCTTATGGACTTTTTTCTTAAATTATTACTAATTAACATTTAATGCATTGTTTGCCCCAGGGGTACAGGTCTGTGAATCAACAGGTTTACACATTTCACAGCACTTAGCATAGCACATACCCTCCCCAATGTTCTTATGGACTTCTAAAGTAATTTTATTTCATGCTATTTCTTTCCTGAAAACTCTATTACAGGTCAGAACATTTAGTCTCTGGAAAGAAATAGCATGTTGTAAACTCTTTACCTGTTGTAAATATTCTCAAATCCTTTCCATTTTGCTGTCCCAGGGTTGCATATCATTTCAGTGGGACTGTATACACTTAAATTCCTATAAAAAGTTGTCAGTGTCTCTGAATTTTCGTTCAGCTGGTACTTTTCACCCCAGAGGCAGCTGAATTTCAGACAACAATGATATGTTTTGTAACGTTTCACTCTTGGGTTGTGAAATACTTTGGAAGAGCTGGGGGTGAAAAGAAATGGATTTTCTTATTTTTAGGGAGGCATTAATTGTAACAAGCTCTTATATGATCTCTTAAACCTGGACACTAACTAGTACATCTCTAGAGAAATAGTATCTTCCTAAAGGCTGTATGTTAAATTTTGTAGGAAAGTGGAGGGGATTCTAGAATTTTGGTATAATCGTGGATGGTAGACTATTAAAACACAGGTTTATTCAGAGGCAGCAATTACATTCCAATGGGCCCTACAGTTCAGCTGAATACTTTTCATGTGCAGCTATCCCGAGGGGTTAGAGATGAGAGGGATGGAGGTCCTGAATCGAGGCGTTAATGCTACACAAGTAAGTATTCCAGAAAGCAGAGAGTAAGTTAAGTCGCAGAGGAGATGTCTAAGAAAGATGGCAAAATAGAATCGTGCCCCTCTAATTTCATGGCATGGGGACGTGTAGTGGAGGGGAGGAGGGGCTGCCTGACTTCGGCAGGTGCTCAGGGGATGAGAGGGGTGTGGTGGGAATGGACAGGACCCTCTGGGTGACAAACACGTGGCACCATGACAGCAGCTAGTGGCGGCACTAGAATGCCATAGTGGGAGTTGAGGAAAAGCAAGTTTAGGCCACAGAGAATGCGAGCCTCGCTTTGCATTTTACAAAGTAGGCAAGAGGGCATTTCTGCCCCTATTTCCAACACTCCGGGCATGCGAGTGTGCGCGCATGCACTGTCCAGCCGGCGAGCACCCGGTGTTCCCCATCAGCAAAGCTCCGCATCTCCCAGAGTCCCTTCAGTCCCGTGCCTCCTACCAGCATTGCCCGGAGGAGAGCTGTAAGCGGCCCCACTGGGTGAGGGCGTGTCACAGAACCCAGCAGCAGACATTCCAATGTGCCAAGACATGGAGCCCCTCTCCCAAAGGAAACCCCTTCCTCTCCCCCCTCTCTTCGGACACTCCTCATTGAAAATAATCTTTCATGCCCCAGACCAGCATGGCAGATTCCTTACATACCGAGGCCACCGGGACGAAGATGAGAATTGAACCTGAAGTCGATTTCTGAAATTCATCTCCCTTGTTTTGGCGGAGGAGTTCAAGTCCAACGGAACGCCGTCCTAATGGACTTGCCTGCTGAAGTTGCAGCGTTCATTTGACAGGACGGCCTGCGCATTAAAACGGAGGTCGTGGGAGCTTTTAGAAAAACATCTGAGACCAGGTTGCTAAGACCCTCTTAGGCTATTTTGGAGCGCGGTCAAGTGTGTGCCCCTGCCCCGGGGTTTATAATGAAACTGCGGACAAGCCCTGCAACACGGGGAATCTCCGTGGCCAGCCTCCTTGCTCTCCTGGGCCACACTTCCAGGCACTGGTACTTAGTATTTCTCTGAAGAGCTGGGCACACCATGCTTCTGGTGTTGCTGTTTGCAGGTTGTAAGGCATATGGACACATTTTTTTGCCCTGTCTGCTTAGCCGTGGAGGGTCTCCATGGTATCCTAGCAACC